GGGAGGGAGGGAGGGAGGGAGGGATCCTTGGGAAGCACTTACAGGCTGTGGCAGGCAGCGTGCTAGTTCAGTGGCCATTGATTGTTTCAGTCAAGTTAATCCTCACAACAACCCACGAACTGAGTGTCTGTCCACACTTCTACAGATGAGAAAGATTAAGACGGAAAGAGGAGAAGCAGTGTGCCTCCGGCCTCATGGCTCTTCAGACTGGAGCCAGGAGTTGAATGCGGGTCCGGCTGCCCCACCCTCTTTCACCCACTCGGGGCCGTGGAAGTTTCTCTCTAGCTTACCTGCCTGAGGTTTACAAATTGGGGGTTTCAGCTCCAGCCTGATCACGTGCCCTTACACATCGAGCTCAGTCTCATCTGCCTCATCTGGCGTGCGTGTGTGTGTGTGTGCGTGTGTGTGTGTGTGTGTGTGTGTGTGTGTGTGTTCTCTGGGCAGAGGGGTGTATGGCAGGCCATCTGTCATCACAGCTGAGATCGGCATGGCTGGTAAACTACCCCGTGGCCAGACTTGTGTCTCCACCTCCTCCTCCCTGAGCTCTGTCATGGGGTCAGGGCCAAAACTGTAGCCAGCCATTGGTGTGCTCTTGCTGAGGCCTTCCTGGGACTCCCAGCAGCCAAGGGGAGAATTCGCAGGGCAGCCAGCGGCCCTCTGCTTCCTTCCCGGCATGTACCCAGGCCGAGGTGTGGCAGTGAATGGACAGGGTCGGGGTCAAAGGCCAGAAGACCTGAGTTCCAGGCCCACATGTCCTGGTCTCCTCACATATGTCTGCCCTACATGATCCCGGGCATTTTGTGACGTTCAGACTCCTTGGAGTTCAGGGTGATCGCAGCCGACCCCTCAGGAGCTGCTTTGGCCTCCTTGGGTCTAACAGTCCCAAATGCAAGGTCACCTGCATCTTCCAAGTGTCTCAGTGGAAATCACGGGTTAGCAGGCTCTCTCTCTCTCTCTCTCTCTCTCTCTCTCTCTCTCTGTCCAGATCTCAGAAATCCCTCTCTGTCTACTCTATGATCCTTGAGCTGAGAGGCCATGAGGGTGCCACAGGTTCTTCACCATTCCTTTATTGATCCTGCATAGCCCTTTGGTGATATACATTGTGGAGCATTTGCCCAGCATCTAATTAGTTCCTCTGACCTCCTCCTTTTTGATCCCTTGTAAAAAAAAAATAAAAAATAAATAAAAGAAGGAGGGGAGAAGAGGTAAAGGAAGAGGGAGGGTTCCCAGAAAGGGTGATAGCCTTCCTGCTAGCAGGCATCTTCCTGTGACCTCCAGACCCCAGGATTCTCAGCTTAGGCACCTCCTAAGGCTTGCCATGAAGTCAATCATTTATTTATGTGGAGGCAGTAGAGAGGAATGGTTCAGAATTTATCCTCTGGAGGCAGATGCCAGGGATCATAATCCCAGCTCCAGCCACCTGCTGGGTGACCAAGGGCATGTTTCCTAACCCCTCTGTGCCTCAGTTTGCTCATCTGTAAAATGGGGATAATGATAGTAAGGACCTCCAGAGCTGTTATGAGGATTAAATAAGTTAATATGTGAACAGCCTTCATAACAAGGCCCGGCCCCCAGTGAGCGCTGTTTTGGTGTTTGCTATGATTATTCATTCCACGTTGATTGAGTGCCATGCTGTCCCATCTGCTGCGCTCGGCTCCAGAGACATAGCAACAACGAAGAAGATAAGGACCTTGTCCTCACGGCTCTTATGCTTTATGGGGGGGAGATAGGCAAGCAAACAGCCTATCATGTTAAATCTATGACAAGGGAAGGCCTGTGTGTGTTGGGAGCACTTGAGAGGCGTGACTGGGGTGGGTGCCAGGGGTGGGTGTCCGGGGTGGTGATACCTGCCCTCCCTGCTCACTATGAGTCACACAGCTCAAGCGCTTTAGGCTGAGCCTAGCCCCCACGGTGGAGCAACATGCAAACCCTGAGCAAGACCTTCCACAGCAGGCACAAATATTACAACTTATATCCACATCCTTTTTATCTTAAAGAACGAAGCTTTACTCATTTATGTCCTCACTTGATCCGTCTATCAGACGGTCAGCGGTCATGTTTGGCACACACAGTGCAGGGAAGAGTGGGGTCCCCAGAAAGGGTGGTGCACTCGTGTTTGCCTGGCATAGCACAACACACAACATACAGCAGTGCTCGGCCCACGGGTGTTCAATTATGTCGTCTAGTTTTAACCAGCAACCCTCCCCAAGTGGCGCCCGGGCTCCAAATGATGAAGAAGGCCATGGCGCTTTAGTTATATACATTGTTCTTCTGACCTTGCCTTGAGTGTATAATGTGCCCAGAGATAGCAGCTAATGACAGGAGTCAAACTGTCTTGATTACAAAAACGAGCCATTCAAACTTTGCTGTACAGGTATACCCGTCTCTTGGTATTTGCAAGGATCCATTTCCATAATAAAATATATAAAAAACTATCTTTTTTTTTAATCCTCACCAGAGAATATGTCTACTGATTTTTGAGAGAGAGAGAGAGAGGAGAGAGAGAGAGAGAGAGAGAGAGAGAGAGAAAGAGAGAGAGAAACATAGATTGGTTGCCTCTGGTATGCGCCCCAACTGAGGATTGAACCCACACCTGGGTATGTGCCCTGACCAGGAATTGAACCCACAACCTTTTGGTACATGGGATGACACTCCAACCAACAGAGCCACCCGGCCAGGGCAAGAACTATCCTTTTGTATGCCATTAAAGAAAGGATGAACCAGAGGACATATAATCTCGACAGTAAGTGACTTCTTGAATAAAAATGAGCTTTATTAAACAGCTCTGGAAGTTTACCCACTGATGATGTGACTAGTAAGGTGACAGCGATGGAGAGGACTGTATGTAAAATTCCTCCACGGCAGACTTCATGGGCCAGCTATTGCTGCAAACGAGTCAAAGCCAGGAGACAAATTGCTATGGGAAGTCATCACGCAGTCAGCTTTACAAAACAAGACCTTCGAAGTCCGATGGTATCTTAATGGAACTTTGTGTTGGAATAGTGTCTGTGAAAATCCCTCGAGCCCTTTGAGAACTGCTGGCTATGTCTTTCTTGGCAGAGGAAGTGTCAGACTTAAAGATGAGCTACTCTTTGTTTAAAAAAAACCCCAAAAATATGGATACTCTATATTTGCTGCCTTTTTCTGTGATGACAGATGGCTGTCGATAGTATGCTCCCTGCTAGAGCTTTTCAGCAAGGTCGACATACTAGTCTGTCCCTCCAAAGTAATGGAGACTTTTCCCTGTGTGTGTTTTTTTAATTAAAAAGTTTTAAATTTCTCTATAAAGTAAAAGGGAATGTTGTGAAATCAAGGCAGGAGATGTACCAACACCGAAACACTGCGAATTATTTCCTTATTAAGGGATGCTGTAAACCATCTCCATTTGCACACTTGAAAAACTTGAAAGCTGGGATTTTCTAACTTAGAATTTAGTTTGTAAGAACAAGTAACTGACCTCCCTATGGGCAGATGGAATTTTACTAGCCAGATTTCAACAGCATCGCATGATTGGTAAATGTGAGTGAAAAATAAATGTCATGGTTTTATAAGTGCAATCACTAATGAGTTTCTTCCCTCTTGATCTAGGATACTTTGTCAGCTAAACCAAGTATCAAAATAGACCGATCTTAGCCGGGGTGTGAATTGTATCCAGATGTTTAAAAAATAGTAAAACAGCCCTGGTTGGTGTGGCTCGGTTGGTTGGATGTTGTCCCGTGCACTGAAAGGTTGTTGGTTCGATTCCCGGGCAGGGTACATGCCTGGATTTTGGATTCGTTCCCTGGTAGGGGGCATGCAGGAGGCAGCTGATCAATGTTTCTCTCTCACATTGATGTCTCTCTCTCTCTCTCTCTCTCTCTCTCTCTCTCTCTCTCTCCTCCCTCTTCCTACTTCTCTCTCTAAAAATCAATAACAAATATTTTTTAAAAACATCAGTAAAACAACTATAATTATGTAAGATGTACTCATTAGGAGAAACTGGGTGATGGATCCTCAGGGACTATTTTTTTGCAACTTCCTGCAAACCTAGAATTACTTCAAAACAAAAAGTTTAAAAAAAGTGATAAACGTGTTCAATCATATGTGATATTGTATTACATTGATAGAGTAATATATATGGTATGTAATATAATCATATGCAAAATATATAGTGACTTAGTATCACTTTTATGAAGAGCAAGGTGGACAGAGAGTAGCCTGGTGGGAGCCAGGGCAGGGATTTCAGCTAAGGAGACACAGCCGGACACCCAGACTGCACCCCACCTCCCAGTGTGGGTGACAAAGGAACCCAAGGGCCCTCACTGAGACCTGTCTGTACCTTCCCTCCTCAGCCTCTCCAGTGATTGAAAATGGCCAGCTGGAGTGTCCCCAGGGGTACAAGAGACTAAACCTCACTCACTGCCAAGGTAAGGATGACCAGGGCCACGGCTGGGCTCGGGGAAGGGAAGTGATGGAGGCCTGAGGATGCAGGAACACCTCTACCCACCCTGCATCGTCGGTGGACGCTGCCTGCGGGGTCTCCCCTGGGGAACTCTAGACCCCAGCTTGGGGAAGCTTTGGGGTTTGCTGGTTCCAGAGGCCTAAGGAAGTCTGGGGGTGGGATAGGTCACCCTGAGAAAGGACCTGCAGCCAAGCCCATCCCTCCCTCCCCATCTCCACCCACCCTCTCCCAGACCTGGGCCAGGTGCCTCTATGGAATGTGTGATGCCATATCTGAGGGTGCCACCCCACGTCCCCAACATCCACTCGCCTCCCGGGCTGACCTCCCTGGATGGGAAGACTTTGGACTCCAGGGTGGGAGACCAGGTCCGCCTGAGTTAGCAGAGACCACTGTGCATGTTGCCCAACAAGCACCTTAAGGGCTTCGCCTGCCTCAGCCCACAGCCGGGCGGGGGTGGGGGGTGGAGAGTAGGGGTGGGGAGGAGGCACAGATGAGGGAGAGGGGACCAGGAAGCACACCCCTGGCCTTGCTGGGCTGGCCTGGCTGACCGGCTCTGTGAGGCCAGCTGAGGCCCAGGGTGCTCTGCATTAGAAAGCGCCTGAGCCGCCAGGCCCAGGGGCACCTTGGGACAGAGGGTGGGAGGGGGGCTCAGCTATGGCTTCTGCAGGGGATCCCAGTGGGTGGGCAGTGGGACCGGGACCGAGGGGTCCCGAGGCTTCACCAGGGAGGCAGCTGCCACTCAGCAGCTCAGGCTCTGAGTGAGGAGCCCTGTCGGCTGTGAGTGTGACAGGAGCGGGCCTTTCAGCCGTGAGAGGCTTCTGGGGCTGGCGGAGGTCAGCGAGGAACTAAGCTTCCCAAAGGGGAGCTGCCTTGGACGTACCGCCGTCTGTCTGGCTACTTTGGGTGAAGCTGGGTGAGAGACCAGGGCTCGACCCCGGTGGCCTCCTAGGTGCCTTCCCCCTGGAGGCTGCCTCAGGGGGGTGGAGCCTGAGGACGCCCCGGGGTGGCAGGGCTACCTGCCTGTGGGGTGCCAGGCCCCAGAGGCGATTTCTGGCCTGTGGATAAGAAAAGGGGCTTGTACCAGGCACAAGGGCAGACGTCTGACCCAGCCCAGCCAAGCCCAGGGTCCGCCTCCCTCAGGGGCAGTGGGCGGAGGGCCTGGTGGACAGCGGTGGGGAGAGATGTCTGTAGTTTTGCCCTTGGAGGGTGCGGTAAGGCTGTTCATCCCTAAATGTGTGCAGTGGTTTCCCAGCCCGGGGAAGGTGAGTTTATTTCCAGAATCTCAGGTGAGCTCCGCTCTCCAGCCACTGAGCCCCCGGGTACAGGGTGCTCAGGGGCCCTCCCCCGGAGGCCCTGCCCCTGAAACCTCCCCCTTCCTGAGTCTGGGGTGGTGGTCTCCATGTCGGCGAAGGGACCCCCCAACTCTGCACCCATGTGTGCCACCTCCGCTCTCTCTCCATCCTTCTCTCCTACTCCCACGGGGTAATTTTGGGGTGTTACTCTGAGCTGCATACATTGTGCCAGGTGCTAGTATACAGGGATGGCTTAGACATGGCTGCTGCCCCAGGTGGAGACAGACACCTAAACGATTGCACAGCACCTGCCTCCTCCCCCTGATCGGTACCTCCAGCCTGCAGCTCCCTGCATGCCTGTTCCCCAGACTTGGGCCTGGGAGCTGCTTCCGGATCTCTCAAGGCAGGCTGAACAGGAGGGACTGGGAAGCCCCGTCTCCACCCTCCAACCCCAGCTGTCCCCTTATCCGCGTCCCCTGTTTGCATCCCAGCATGTCACGTACTAGCTGAGTGGATTTGGGCAAGTTATTCCCAGAGCGTCCGTTTCCCCACCTATAAAAAGAGGACATGTGGACCTATTCGGTTGAAATTGGTTGTGAAATTAAATGAGGTACCACATGTAAAGCACCGGGCACATAAGAGGCGCTCAGTACACACTAGCTCTTAATATTATGATCATTATTACCCGCTACAGGACCAAGTGATTTGCCATTTTTAGTGTTTTGTCCTCCTATTGGAGACTATCTGGTAGTTACTCTTATTAACCCCATTTTACAGATGGGAAAGTCAGGCACAGAGGGAGGGAGCAACTTAATAAAGGGCAGCTCTCTTATTGTGGTCCCTTTCCTTGGAGAAAGTATTTGAAGATCTCTGCCCCAGCCCTTCCCTCCATCAGGCCTCATGGGGCGGGTCCATGGTCATCTCCTCCAACCCTGCAGATATCAACGAGTGCCTGACCCTGGGCCTGTGCAGGGACTCGGAGTGCGTGAACACCAGGGGCAGCTACCTGTGCACCTGCAGGCCCGGCCTCATGCTGGATCCCTCGAGGAGCCGCTGCGTGTGTGAGTGCGGGTGGGGAACGGGGGCGGGGGACACTGGGCGGTGAGATGGGACCCTTGGGGTTCACGGGCCAGGCCCAGAGCAGAAGTTCCCCCCAGGCCCCTTCCCACAGCCCAGTGGCTCCTACCCAAAACGGGTCCATCCCCTCCTGCGGGACAGACAGCTGCTACTTCACTTCGGCTTTAGGCATTTCTTGGGACTTTGCAGTTCGGGATTTTCTACTCCTGTTCCGTCTTTGGCCTCATTTACTTTGGGGGATGTGTGTTGCCTCTGTTCTAACATCTGGCTGAGCAGAGGCTGCCTCTTCGGTGCCTGAGCTTAGCAGCAGACCTTTCAGAGGGGGCCTGTCGGCAGCATGAATGCCCCTGCTGCCAGCCCCAGGCCTTTCCACAACCCTGTGGTCCCCTTGGTTCCGCATGTGTCTCTGCATCTGTGAACACGTACGTGTCACGAGTCCTATTGGCATCGTGTCCGTGTGTGCGTGCGTGTGCGCCCGGGCAGCTGTTTCCAGTGACCTCTGTGGTTTCCAGCGGGGAGAGGCCCAGGCTGACAATCCCTCTCAGATGGTGGAGCTGACGCCGCGGTCCGGATGGGGCTTTCCTGGGGCAGGGAGGCCTGGCCAGAACTGAGTAAAACCAGTACTGACTGGCCTCTGCCAAGGGACAGCCCGGGTCAGGTCGGCCACCGGCTCAGCAGAGCTCCCTGTCGCTGGCTGAGCCCTCAGTCTGCAAACGGCCAGGCACTAGGTCGGAGGAGACCACAGAATGAACACGACTCCAGCGCCACCCAGAGGGAGCGCCCGTGTGCAGGGAGTTACTCAGCTCACAGTGTGTGTCTCCACAGGGAGAGGAGACAGTCCAAGCCTTGAGAGGGGACACCCAGGGAGTGAGGGGCCTGGGGTGGGGAGAATATGTCAGGCCACTCTCAAAAGACCTCATGGTGACAGAGACAGGCAACCAAGGCCTTGAGGGGATACAGTTCTTCTCCTCTCCGCCCCCACCCCACCCCACCCGCACTTTTATTAGGCAGGTGTATTTAATGTCGGAGGTGACATATTCGTGCCAAAAAGAGAGCCTTAATGCAGGGAGCAGAGATGGCCCTTGCGTGTTCTCCCTCTCCCCTCAGTGTTACCCCATCCAGCCTCCTCTGATGACTCATATCCATGAAGTGGGGCAGGGGGAGGCACTAAGTTTCTCTCCCTTCATTTCTGAGTTTTGCCCTCCTTCCTGGCACCTGACCAGGGCTAGTGGAACAGCTGCAAGGGCCCTCTGGGCTGGGCGGCCTCCTGATGTTGCCAGCTGTGTCACCTCGAAGGGACCAAGCCCTTCCCTACGGTAGCCCCAGGGAAGTGGCTGCTGGAGGCAGAGACTGAACCTGGAGACCATGGCTCATGAGTGGACTAATAACTGACATTTGTACAGAAACCCAACTCAAACCACTGTGAGCAAAAATAATTCATTGGTCCACACAACTAGGAGGTCCAGAGGTAGGGGTGCCGCAGGCCTGGCTGGATCTAGGCACTCACAGTGTCATTAGGATGGCTCTTGCTCTCTTCCTTCGGTGTTGATTTCTTATTCCTTCAAAGGTACCCACCAGACACTCTAGGCCTATAACCTCCCACCCTTGAAATTCAACAACAACAACAACAACAAATAGGAACATAAGAAGCATCTCTTTTCTAATAATCCTGGAAAAGTCCCAAAGCTAATTAACATCATGGGCCTACTTATCAAGTGCCCATCCCCGATTCAATCACTGTGAGGGGGATATGGACTGTACTCCTTCAACCAGGAAGTGGGGACCAAGACTGAGGGAATAAAGGGTGGATCCCACAGGAACACCAGGATGCTGTTACCAGAGTATGAGGGACAAACAGAAATACACGCATCCACCACCCATCGCCCTTAGCATGAAGGAGATAAGACCCAGGAGGTCATGTAGCTCATGGTGGGGCAGGGAGTTGAACTTGGGCTGTAGAGTCCTGACCAGGACTCCCAGAATCATCAATTCCTCAACTTTGAGTGTTGCCCTCTTCACCCCACCCTTTCCCCTCATCTGTCCCTCTGAAGATTTCAGTCTCTTCCAATGAAGCATCTTCCTTTGAGGTAATTTATAAGAGAATAGTCTATAATATTTACTATCAAAGTACAATCAAGGAGCCTGGCCATTCCAATGAAGCATCTTCCTTTGAGGTAATTTATAAGATAATAGTCTATAATATTTACTATCAAAGTACAATCAAAGAGCCTGACCGGTGTGACTCAGTGGTTGGCTATCAACCTATGAACCAGGAGGTCATGGTTTGATTGTCGGTCAGGGCACATGCCTGGATTATGGGCTCGATCCCCGGTGAGGGGTGTGCAGGAGGCAGCTGATCAATGATTCTCTTTGATCATTGATGTTTCTCTCTCTCTCCCTCTCCCTTCCTCTCTGAAGTCAATAATATTTTTTTTTTAAAAAAAAAGCACAAGCAAGGGAACAATGGTAGTGGCATTGTTATTATTGAAACCCAGCCTAGCTCACCCTCACTGTGGCCCACTGGATTGATTCATGGATCTAGCCACCCATCAATCCATCAGACGCTGTGCAGGGTGCCTGGTTCCAAAGAGGACAATGTCCCTGCCCTGAAAGCTCCCCATCAGGCCTTTGGTCCTCACCACCTCTCATCTCCCCAAGGAGACTGTGGCCCTCAGAGCACACTGCTCCCCACTCAACCCCAGGCCATGTTGGGCTTTGGTAAACACTTGTAGCTCAGCACTTGTAAACAGGTTCTCCGTGTGGGCAGGAGTCAGGGTCCCCTCCAACAGGTAACATGAGGAGGTGCTGAAGCATTCCACTACAGCTATTCTTCCTAACATTCTTGTGAGCGTTTTCAGGGCCCCAAACTCCCAGACTGTGACGCAGGCCAGGCCAACCCGAGGGCACGACCAGCCACTCCTCCATCGTCTGCCCTCTTGCCTCTGCTTTCCCCTCCCCCTGGCCACCGGCCCATCCCCACCTGCTATGTCTGTTTCAGCGGACAAGGCTGTCTCCATGCAGCAGGGGCTGTGCTACCGGTCCCTGGGGTCAGGCACCTGCACCCTGCCTCTGACCCAGAGGATCACCAAGCAGATATGCTGCTGCAGCCGAGTGGGCAAAGCATGGGGCAGCAAGTGTGAGAAATGCCCCCTGCCTGGCACAGGTAACCCTCTGTCCCCCCCTCTCAAGCTTCCTACAAGCAGTCGCCATTTTCCCCCACCTGGACCTAACCTTAAGCCAGAAGACCCTAGTCTTCCTTCCTGCTCAACTCCTTAACCAACATGGGGCCCCTCCCTCCTTGCAGCTGCAGTAGCCTTGTCTCCCAAGGGAGGGGAGGGAGGGCCCTGGGTCCCTGCAGGAACAGCATCTTCAGTGAGTCTCTGACCATTGACCTTGTAGAGGCCTTCAGGGAGATCTGCCCCGCCGGCCATGGCTACACCTACTCGAGCTCAGACATCCGCCTGACCATGAGGAAAGCTGAGGAGGAGGAACTGGCCAGGCCCTCGAGGGAGCAAGGGCAGAAGACCAGTGGGACCCTGTCTAGACCAGCGGAGAGGCAGCCACTCCGGGCGGCCACCAGCACCTGGCTGGAGGCCGGGACCATTCCTGACAAGGGTATCTGGGTTGGGGGAGATGCATGGGGGGTTCCCCTTCCCCTTGGATTGCAGCACCTCAAAGAGCCACTGGGAGATTATCCTGGGTGCCTGGCATCCATCTCTGGAGTCTTAGGAAAGGGACTTTGGAGCAGCAGCACCCAGCGCTGGGACCCTGCTCTCCTGGCCTGGCATGAGGCCTCACCCACTTCGTCTCCCCTATGGGGTCAAGAGGTGCCCACATCCCAGGGAGTTGCTGGTGGAGGTGGGAGAGGTCAACAACAGCCCCCACCCCAGCTCCTCAGTCTTTCCATCCCCTGCCCCTGGCCATGCAGCTTCTGAGGCTGGTGCTGGCTTCAAGGCCTGAAGAGCTGGCGGGTGGATCCTGGGGAGTCTGGGTGCTCTCGATCCCCAACCCTCGCCTCAGAGTCAGAGCATGAACTCCAGCTCAACTGCCTTGGGCCCAGGAGGCAAGGGGCTGGGAGGAGACTGGGCTTGAGGCACCCCTGGCAGGTGCCCTGGGAAACCAGGCAGAAGGCATGCCCAAGTTACTGGTAACACAGAGTGCAGGAGGCCAAGGTCATAGTAGGACCAGGAGAACTATGTGACGGCCAAAATTTCTCCAGGAGAGAGGGAAGTCAGGACAGAGCCCTAGTCACCATGGGAACTGGACCCTGACTAAGGGAGGAGCAACTCCTTTCCTCTGTAGAACTGTTCCCCTGGTGAGGGGGAGGGGCAGAGTGACCTGGTGTGACTGGCAGGCTTGGGAGGCAGGAGGGTTACAGCTAGGATCACAGGGTGGACTGGCCCAGGTGGGGGGGGACTCCCATCACAGGAGGCCTTGGAGGGAACTAGAAGGCTTCCTCTCGCCAAGTGACACACCTTGTAGACCCTCCAGATCTGGGATTCTGGGGTCTGTGGTGGCCAGTCCCAGTGGGGCGGGAGAGGCAGAGGCAGGCATAAGAGTCTAAGCTCTCTCCACTGCTGACCTCTGGGGACAAGGTCAGGAGATCACAGATGGAACCAGCCCTGGCCGTGGGTGGAGGGGAGAAGGCGGCCAGACTACCCTCCCTGAGCTCATGTTCTCACCTTTCCTTCCCAGGTGACTCTCAGGCTGGCCAGGTGAGTGGGTCTTCTCACCAGGGAATTGGGCAGGTGTGGCAGGGGGGGACCTGGTAGCCGCCAAGGCCATGGGGCAGTGTCCTGTGAGGGAGGAAAGGGAGAAGGACGGAGTATATGTAGGATCTTACTTGGAGAGAGGCTGGAGTGGAGGGTGGATCCGAGGACCCAGTTTTATCCTAAAGGAAGTAATAATAGTTACTGTTTATCAAGTAGCTTCGACGCTTTTTCACTTGGGCCGGTCTGGGGCCCCCTTCAGAAAGGAAGTAGGCACGTGACCTGTTAGTTCTGGCTGTCACTCCAGCAGATGAGGTCTAGAACTGGTTCTAGATGAATTTCAGATTTGGCATTTTCTGAGCTTGATTTGCTTAAACCTCAAGGTCTCCTCTGTGAGTGGCTCGTGGGGAAGTAGAGGCAGAGCTGTGGATAGCCTCAAACCACTTCACTGAGAAACAGGCATCCCATCCCCTTCCCTGAGCCCAGCAGTCCCCTGTAAGAACTGAGCGTTCTCCTAGAAACCCATTCCAGAAGAATGAATCTGCTTCTTCCCTCGCCAGCCTGCCAATCCCTTCCCTGTCCCCTGCCCCTCCAACCTGCATACCTGACTGTCCCCAAACACTTTTTACTTATTTAAAAAAAAAAACATTTTTATTGATTTCAGAGAGGAAGGGAGAGATAGAAACATCAATGATGAGAGAGAATCATTGATCCTGACTGGGAATGGAGCCGTGACCTCCTGGTTCACAGGTCGATGCTCAACCACTGACCCAAACACTTTTTCTAATGAGCTTCTTCTCTCTCTGAAGAACCACGTGTTGTCTTCCCAGACCAAAGTTCCACTTCCATGTCCTCACAGTCCCGAGCCACGCTCCTGGTCCTCTGTCCTCCTCTGCCATCTCTCCTCCTGGTTCCCCATGGCTTATCTACCTCTGCCCGTGGGCTGTGGGGAGGGACAGCAGGTGTGGCCCGGATCCCGCTTCACCACACGGGCCCTGTGACACTGGGTAGGCTAGTTAACCCCTGGAGCTTCTGCTGCTGTCTCTGAGATCACAGCATGGATATGATACTTGCTGAGATGACACGGAGCTGGCACATGACATACATTTAATCATTACAACCTACTATGATAGGATAGTTGAGATTAATAAGGTGTGGATATAAAGTGCCTAGCAAAATGCCCAGCATGTCGTAAGAACTTAATACCAGGAATGAACGAAAAGTGAGTGAGTGAGTTGGATGGGAAGCCTGGGAGAAGGGAGTGAGTCATGGGGGTGACAGCCGAACCCAGAGAAACATTCTCTTATTTCTGTGCAGGTCACAGCCAGTGTTACCCAAGTCCCTGCCTGGGTCCCAGGTGAGTCCCTCCTCCTATTGGCTCCCAGCTCACAGAGAAGGGAGGGAAGGAGAGACCTTCATCCAGTAGTGGAGTTGGTACATGTGAGCCTTTACATGGGGCTCAAATCAGATGGGGTCTTGGATGACAATGTGACATGTGAATGCTTTTCTGGGGGATCCATGCACCTAAGGAGCCGGGGTTGGGGACAGGGCACTGTTCCGAGGTCAGAAAGCTGGCTCCCCGCTTCCTCACTATAAAACGGACGCGAACGCCTGCCCTGCTGCCTCCCAAGGCCGACAAGATGTGGATGTTCCTGGCAGAGCTCTGTGAACTGTAAAGCGCTTTGCAAACAGGAGAAGAGCGCTGGCGTGGGAACCAGGAGACCGGCTTTGGCTCTGTGTCCAGGAAGCCGGGTGGCCCTGGACAAGGGGCCCTTTCTGCAAGCTCAGTCTCCTCGCCTGTGAAATGGAGCGTGAGACTGGACAGGCTCTAAGACCCGATGAGCTCTCAGATTCTCCGACTCTATTTGGGGCCCGGTCAGGCCTCAGGAGGCTAGGAGGCTAGGGGGTGAGGGGTGACCCGCCCTAGGCTCCACCCCTTGCTCTTGGAGTTGGCACAGCAGAGAGGCACACAGGGCCACTGCCAGTAACCTGGAGGGAGCACTGTCCCAGGGGGGAAGGCAGCTGGCCAAGGGGCTGTGCCCACCTGCTCCCCCTCTCCCTGCCCCCTACAGGAGATGCCACAGGAAGACCAACGCCACCACTGCCTGGACAGGGGAGTCTAGAGACCCGGGAAGAAGAGCAAGTGACCACCCCCACCGACGTGCTGGTGACCCTGGGCCCCCCAGGTACCTGCAGCCGGCCCTGCGAGGTGTGGGTGTGACTGCCCAGAGCCCACTCGGGGCCTCTCCACCAAATGAACACACAGTCTGCAGCCACTCCCCCCCAGCTCAGCCCTGGCTGATCTCACAGGACCACAGGGGCCCTAGTGGGAGTCCTGCCTGGCGTCTGGTGCACGGGTCCAGCCGGGAAGGGGAAAGAGAAGGGACACCTTGGGAGGGTCTCACTCAGAGCCCTTCCGGGAGAACCCAGGGGCCCCTGGAGAATGGGGAGCCTCCGGAAGCCTGGCTCTTCCAGGCTGTTGACTCTGAGTCATCTGAGTGTCCTGGCAGAGGGTGGCCTCCGGCCCACGGGAGGGGTGGCTTTCGGGAAGGTCGGGTTCTCAAGGTTGTTTAACTGCCGGGGAGCCTGTGTCCCCCCTCCACCTCGGGCTGCAATGGTGAGGGGGTGCGGGGCGGGGAGATTCCTGGCAAATCCACCTCGCTCTGGAATGTGCCCTCCTAAGGCTCTTTGTTTGGGGACTTGGCTCAAGAGAAGCAAGGCCAGTGTTACCTGCTGCTCCCTGCACACGTGTGAGCTCACGTGCGCTCTCGTGTGCGCCCTCACACGTGCCCAGGTTTGCTGAGCTCTTAACCTCACAGACTGAGGCCACCTTGGCAGAGACAGGTCTTTCTGGATTTCCCCTGGCAACGGGAGAGACCCCGCAGCCTGATGGAAAAGTCCAGAAAATGTGGGGTGGAGTCGGGGTTTGTCTTTCTGGGCTGGAACCAGGGCACCCCATGGTCCCTCCCAGACCCTCTCCCCTCTGGGCTCAGTGCGCTGCTCCTCGTCCCCCCTCCACCCGACAGACAGCAAGATGAGCTGGGAGAAGGGGCTCAGCTCAAGAGAAGAAAATGGGCCTGGAGGCAGAGGGGAGGGGCAGGAGGGGCCAGGCCAGGCTCAGCCGCAGCTCTAAGGGGGACAGGATCCCCCGACCACCACCAAAGCCTTGTGCCTGATCCCCCATCTTCCCTGTCACCCCCCAACCTCACCCCTCTGGGAGGACATTTAGAATCCGGCTGGGGGTCCCCATGAGTCCCGAGGCTGACACTTGAAGCCTAGCGAGCGACAGGGTAGCCTGGCAAACAGGCCAGTGTGAATGTTCAGTTCAGTCCAGTTCAGCAAACGCTGTGAAGCCCCGCTGCACCGTCACAGGCCACTTCCCAGCCCATGCCCTGGGGGCCAGGCAGGGAGCCCAGGGTGTAGGGGCTTCCCGCGAAGACATCGGGCGGACACAGAGGCTGTCGTCCAGTCAGTGCTTTGTCCATTCAGCATGTGCTGAGTGCTGGGTGCTTTTCTAGTATTGAGAACACGGCTCAAAAAAGCCGGGGTCTCTGCCCTTGACGCAGCCTCGGCCCTGAGTCCTGGTGCGTCTCCAAACTGTTTCTGAATTCAGCACCTGTCTCCTCACTTTCCACCCCATCACACACCCGCAGGCTGTCCTTGTTTACATGGTTTCAGCGGGTTTCCAAGGGCCCCTGTGCCTCCCTTCCCATCCTGCTGAGCAAGGTGGCATGGCAGGATGAGTGGTGTTTCTGAGACGGCTCGGATCACACCCCACCTTGCAGGACCCCTTGCTTACATGTCTCAAGGTGGCATTCAAGGCCCCACCCCACTTTCCCTGGCAGTTCTTCCCAGCACCCTGCTCACCAGATCTGTGTGTCAGCCTGTCTGTCTGTCTAGGGGACACTGGGAAGGACTTGCCAGGGAAGGGAATCCCTGGGTACTGTTGTGAGAGCCGTGCCTGTATTCAGGGTAAGGTTAGGCTGGAGACCTCAGCGGGGCCGGCCCTGTGGGGACTCGGGACATGGGCCATTGGCATCTGCTTGATCTTGGTCAGAGCGATGCACTGCGAGCTCCGTCC